GGAAGCTATGATCAGTGATTGGGGACTCCAAAACTGAAATTACAGTAGCTCTGTTGGTTTCTAATGAAAGAGTTTTCCTGTTGGAAAGTGAGTGTGTCAGAGGTAAAATATAGCTTGGGATATTTGGTTCTGAAAAACTCATCTACCATACAAAGTTGTCCATGAAACCTATCTTGTTTCTGTCCAATCCCATGATGGGTGGAATGCTTTGGATTTACAAGATGCAAGCTGAGAGTTTGGAAGTCCCCAGCATGTGGGTTAGAACCTTAAGAGCACCCAGATTTTTGGTTACAAATCCTGGAGCCTTGGGAGCCCTGGGAGCTCCAGGTATTTTGACTTGCTCGAGGGTAGGCTTTTTCTTGCAGAACCAGGAGCATGAAAGTCTGAGAACTCCATGGTTTCATCTCTTATGTGATATTAATTTCAGTTCTATTTTTTTGAACATTATTTTCCCTTTAAGCTATTCCAAAATCAGTTGTGTGGGGTGTTTTTTTTAAGTCTGAGTTTTAATCTGTATACAACTGTATGCCAGAGTTACAAGCTATTCTTTGCAACTCTTGTTGCATATCTCCTTCTCATGGCCTTCCAAGGTTTGGAGCAGTGACTGGAAAGATATAGTCACTGAGTTTATACTTAGCAGTCTGGGCTCTTTGTCTGATTAGTGTACCCTGAGGAAGGTTTGTATAATTGAGTTCTTGGTTAATATCATTCAAAAGAAAAGAATGAGTTTAAGAACCATGTCCCTTGAACACTTGATAGTGTGCATTTGTTTGGCTCTCTGCAGGGCTCAGTATTGTCCTGAACTCATGTGGCAGGGTTACTAAAACTCATGATTTCTGAAAGCAATTAATTTGAGAATGGCCTCACCTAGTATTTAGCTGAGGCTACGTGAGGCACAGATTTGGTTTGCTTCTCTGCTAGCAATTTCGTATTCATCCTCAGCAAATGTCTCGGTCCTCAAGTTCCCCGTATTTAAAATGGTAACAGTAGCACTATCCTACATAATAGAAATTGCACGGTAAAATATATAATAAGTTGTAAAATGGCTCGTATATTGTAGTGATTGGATTTTTTTTCCTTTTTTAAAAACTCTTAGAGTTTCATATTTCATGTTCAGGAATCATAGGGGAACATAAAAAAGCCTAAGATATTTTTGCTCAGCCTTCAGTGTTTCTTCCTGTTCTTGCGTGCTATAGTCCTTCTACCTCTCACTGGGTCAGCGAGATCATTTAAAGGGAACGTCTTGTAAAATGATTTGGAACATTTACAAGGGGAAAATAAGTACAATTTTTATATACTACTGAAATACATTTTATATCTGTATTATATCTGTATAAATACATGGTTATAAATATGTGTATAGACTTGGTCAGGTTTTGCTCTGTTTTGCAGCATGGCTCCACAAGACAGTTGTGCAAAAACAACTGAACAGAGAAACAAGCAGAGGGGTTCAGAAGCACTGTGGCTGGGCATAGTTGGCTCTGAAGTTCTGCTGAGATAAAACTAAGGGCTAAGAAAAATATTAACTATTTTGTGACTTCCAATAAAAAATTAAGTTACTGGCTCTGTATTTTGAGGGCTGTGGTGTACTGTTCCCAGAAGGGAACCAAAGAAATCAGTTTTTATATGTTTAGGCCTTATTACTAATATCTTTCCATTTTTCTGCTACACCCATTGTGACATCCATTTTCACACCTAGTATCTGAAAGTGGCCTAAATTCTGGCTCTTAATACTTGGCTGAGCCTTTCAGATGCAATGGACTGATGTTCATTACCTTGTCCCAGGCATTTGTGTGCAGGACTGAAATGATTTTCTTGATGTGGATACATCTTTCAGATGCAAAATTCTGTGATTCAGTAATCAAAGATTAATGAAGTACAGGGTGAGCTTTTGAATGTTTTTCATACCCTAATTACTTAACAGGTGAGATCTGTAATGAAGCAAAATGCTTTTGTTCTTGTGTTGAGGTTACACTGTCAAGTGGGACCCCTGTAAGGTGCTCTTGAACGGCCTTGTAGCATCATGTACCACTGAAGTCTTGGATGAGAGGCAGGGTTAAGTGCAATGGCTAGTCAAAATACAGCTGGATGAACTGGATACAGCTTTTTCACTGCTTATTATTTTCAACAAATAAGCAGTCCTGTGTGATTTATTAACTGAGCTGTATAAATACTGAGTTAGAGTTCCAGCGGGAGGAAATGACATCTAATCTGTAAAAGTTGCTCCATGGCCACAAATTCAAGTGGCGGAAGGTTACCAAAGCTTGTAAAGTCTCCCTGGTGGCAATAACATAACTGTGAGAGGGTCATGTGTTTCCTCTGTACACAGTGAGAGGGGACGCTGAACTGGAATTATGTTTGCCTGCTTCTTAATGCTCAGGCTCGTATTTTGAAGCTATTGGCTTCAGGCTCCAGCTTATGTGTCTGGTTGGTTGGTCTGAAGTATAAGCTATGATGTAGACCAGTCATGGAGAACTATTAATGAAGATGCGTTACAGGCAATGGCAAAGAAAACTAATCTTTTGTAGTATGTGAAGGCATAAATAGAAAGCTGGAAAAAACCTCAATAAGGTCTGATAATGAAAACTTGAAAAATAAAGCTTGGAAGGACAGGGGACAGTTGTGTTGCCTTTTTTTTTCTTTTTTTTTTTCTTTTTTTTTTTAACCACTGATGGAAATGTTTACACTATTTACAAACTCTGACCGAATTTGTGGAGACTTTTTGTTTATTACAAAAGACTATATACAAGGGGGAATGGGTTTAAACTTAAACAGGGGAAGTTTAGATTAGATATAAGGAAGGAGTTCTTTATTGTGGGGGTGGTGAGGCACTGGAATGGGTTGCCCGAGGAAGCTGTGAATGCTCCATCCCTGGCAGTATTGGACAGAGCCTTGGGTGACATGTTTTAGTGTGAGGTGTCCCTGCCCATGGCAGGGGGTTGGAACCAGATGATCTGAAGGTCCTTTCCAGCCTTAACTATTCTATGATTCTATTTCAGGTTTTTATCCTTGAGAAGGGCAGATTAATTATTATTGTCATGAAACTTCGTAAAGGAAATTAAGGCAGATATTTGTATTGCAGTAGTTTTCACAAGCACACAGCTTTTTTCTTTTTTTCTTTTTTTCAGTTTGCTGTAGCTATTCTACATCAGAGTAAACTTTATAGCAAACACATTGGTGCAACAGGAAAAAATGCTTTCAAATGCTTGAATGTTCTTATAATTATTTGTCAGAGAGCTCAATTTTGTGTGATTAGGTAAAAACCACTGAAAGTATCTAACTGCAGTGTACTGTTGCAGTGGCACAACTTTACTCTTACCAGTTAGTGAATTGCAAACAGAAGAATTTTTTCAGACTTCTAAAACTGTACATGGGCATTTGCCTTGTGTTTGAATACCCTGCATGCTCCAGTGTCCGAGACAGGTACCTGGCTGTGGCCTACAAGTCTTTTCCAAGTTTCTTTATGAGAAAGTTGGTTCTTGATGACTGCTTACATTGAAGTTTGTGCACCATAGATTTGTATAGAAATGCTCCACTCTACTTTGTTGACTGCTAATTTCTCTTTTTTTTTTTTTTTGCTTGTGTATTTTGTGTGTGGCTTTTACGACTGCTATCATACACACTGCTGAGTGGTCGTCTTGCAGTTGCCTTTCTGATGAACGCATTTGATGCAGGCGGTTCTGAAATTACTTTTGAAAAGCGAAGTGAACAAACACTGCTGATTCAGACTTGGGCCTGCCTATTGTTAATATATTATTATATTATAAAGTAGAAGAGAAGAGAGATAGATACAACATGTACAAATATTTCATGGCAGGAAGGACTTTATGATGGAGGGATCTTTTCCTGTCAAGAAAGGTACAGCACTGTTTTAAGGTGTTGATTCTAATGTTGTTATATGAAAACTACAGAATTTTAAGGGGCTTTTGGACATAGTTACCTAAGGTTAAATAAATCTTATATTATCTTTTCTCAAAGATACCTGATAAAACAATTAACAATGCATTATAATGTGCATGTGAAAGGGTCAGTTGAAAATTGTGCGTAAGTTTTGCTTTTCCTGATAGCCACATTTCTTTCATAGTGGTCTCCTAATATTGTTTTTTAATCTACAAAAAAAATGAATAACCTGCATTTTAAATCTGCTGTATCCCTTTGCAGCATCAGTGCTCAACTTTTATGCTTATGACAAAATGATGAATTTGGAAGCACGAGGCATGACTTGAAGTATTTCTTTTCCGTCCCTCTAGGCACTTGCACACAGGTATATGTGGACAGTTGTGCCTTCTCTGTTTCAGAGTCCTAGCAAGCATGTTGTGCTACTATCTGGAAAAGAAATGTCGTGTTTGAGTTAGTGTTTCTAATGCACAGACTACCTGTGATGTAAGATGGCTTATTGCCATACATGGGAACGACCTCTGACATAACTAGTTACATAGAATGGGAATAGCTGCAAGTTCAGATATCCTTATATTTCAAGAGTTTTAAGAATTGATCCATGACCCCATAAGAGACAGCAGCTCTGCTTTTCTGGTTGTGGTTAATTACATCAGAGTTGATGGTGTCACATTAGGTGCATGTGTAACTGAGACATGTGCCTTTTTCAGTGTGTCCTGGGTGCTAATCTATTGCCGTTCCTTGTCCCATAGCATTTGTTTAAGCCAGAAAAAAATGTAAGTCACTGTTAATTTAATGAGTCAGGGAGAGGTTAGCACCTGCCTGTCTAATCCACACTTTTCCAGTATTTTATTGGATTAAAGGAGTATCAGTACCTCACAGTCCTTGCTCATAAACAGCTAAACAGTACTTGACATTTAAAGAGATTTTCTGTTGTGCACTTGTATAGTCAAGAGTAATTCTAATCCTATTAAAGATATTATGTCATGGAGGCGTGCCCTGCAGGAGAAGGCTGCTGCTAACTGGCCCAATGGAAAGCAAAGGGGAGGGGCAAGCAGGAGGGTGGATTTATTACTCGATACTTAGGTCAGGGATTTCTGTGGGAAATGCCCAGTGGTTGCAGTTGCTGATGATTTCACGGCAACAGCACTGAAACATAGAGTGCTGTCTGATAGCTGGTTACTGAATGAGATACTGCAAATGGGTGGAAGGAAAAAAGACAGCATGTGAGAGAGAGAGTCAGACACAGAGAGGGAAGCTGAGAGCAAGGAAAGTGCTCTGGCTGGAGGAGTCTCCCAGGTGTACTGCAGAAGCTTTTTGGAAATGGATGCAAGGACCATCTGCTGCCTATAGATTAGAGGGCTGTAGATTAAGAGTGGAAAGAGCTTATGGCTCTTTTGAATAAAAATCAAAGTTCTGCATAACTGATTCATCAAGATAAATCATGAGTGTGCTCTTGCATGGGATATTAATGTATAAATCCACGCTACAGATAGACAGAGTGCAGACTACATCGCTATAAAAAATAAAGCCAGCAACGATGCAGTGAATAAATTCTGCAGTGATTATCTGATTTATGTACGAAGAAAAAGCAGCAAAACACAGAGCGCTCTTATCATACTATGGCATTTGCAAGGCAGTGCATTTAATGCTGAGAGATGCTATACATTAAATCTGACAACTGTGAAAAGAGAGATCATGGAGAAGTCAAGTAGTGAGGATTCTTCAATTCACCGGAGTCCATCTTTGGATAGCAAAGACTCAGATTTTGCTAAACCTTCTACCTCAGGGAGGCAGTTTGGTCGAGGTTTTACTGCTGGAGCTTTCTATGGTACAACTGGATCACGTACACAGAGCCACACTGGGCTCGGAACTGGGACCGGCATTGGGACTGGCGTAAAAAGTGACAAATACAGTGCACCCAAAGGCAGCAAATACGTGGTCTTTTACCTGGATCTATCCTTTGTTTTCCTTTTAGAATTTAAGAAGTGCAACATGGCAAGAGGCTGCCTGTGTTGTTTGAAATACATGATGTTCCTTTTCAATTTAATATTTTGGGTGAGTACTGCCTTTTCAGTTCCCTTCATTTGTTAGTGTGTCCTGTACTGCTGCATTATGTGTACAGTGCATCTTTGAAGCAGTACTGTAACTCCCCCCCTCCACTCCATTTCTCTCATACCTGCTTTGAATATTTTCAGTGTTAAACTTGTGTCTATTAGGAAAATGTACATGCTTTCTATGTATTTATTACTACCTGATTACTGTAGTTTGGCTACTAATTCCTTAAACTTGCTGTTCTAAAATGTATTTTGAACTAGATTATCCAAGAAAGGGCAGAATTGTTCCCCTCCAAGGAAGAGCACAACTACTGTAGCATTAAGATCCTGCAGTGGCAGGATTTTTGCATCCTGTTGTAATACATTGTGTTGCATTAAGCTGCAGGTTAATTTAAATTTTAAGTGCATTCTCATTGTCATCATATATCTTATTTTTTTTTTGTAAACTTCATTTGACAAACTGCTTTTGCCTTTGGAGAAAGTTCTGTCACATTTCTCCAGTTAAAAAAACAAAACCGAAAAAAAAAACCCACAAAAAACCCCACCAAACCAAACAAAACATGAAAGCATGTATGTTTGAAACTCTAAAGATATCAGCATAAATGTGAGATGACTGGAATGGTGAATTAGTCTGAATTCAGTTTCAGCTGCAGTTGTTCACATGGGTGTGTGAAGTTAGAGACTTGCACTTGCTTGTGAGGGATCAAAATTGATTTTCCTCCATCAGCCAAAAGGTATGAGGAGCTGTAACAATGCCTCAGCAAGCAAGTTAAAAGCATAATGGCTACTTTGAGCAAAGTATTGTCATGTATATGAAAGGGAGGAAAAGTTAAGTCATCTGGCAGCTGAGCATCCTTAAGTGAATAATATTGTTGAGGAGATCGCAGGCTAATTGAAACACTGAGTATGCATGAATATAGCTCAATATGAAATGGTTTGCTTAGTTTGAAATCAAAGATCACTGCTTTCCTGATGGTTGCAGAGCTTGGGCTTTTGAACAAAATCAGTCATGGTCATGATCCAGAAATACGCAGTAAGCTTCATATATAAATTAAAATGCCATCCTTGGATTTAGTTTGGAAAAAGGGGCATTAACAGTCTAGTTCAGATGTCTGCCTCTGGTGCAGAGAGATCATTGTTCAAATTAGGAGTCTTACTAGCAGCTTCTTTGTTTATCTTGACCCACTTACTGAAATAACCTTTAAGAGCATGAGTTAATGGGAGATTCGGTACTCATGCGACAGCGAGATTTTTCAGTAATAGACTTAAATGCTACAATCACTGAACTTGCAGGTGTCTTACTTAAGTAGGAAAGTAGAAATATCACTGAAGAATATGTGATTGAAGCTCATGTGTGATTTTTTTTTCTTTATTTTTATTTTTTGCTGTACCAGAAAGTTGCCTTAACTATTTCTAGAAGAACTCACTTTGAACACACTGGATTTGTATCAAATTGGTGCATTACTTTGACATTTTGGAAGTATTTTTTTTCATATGCTGTATGTTGTGATTAGCTTTGGAACAGCTTTTATCTGATTACTCATGTCCTCTGTGATCAGTCATTAAGTATCTCTTACCCTTCACCTCCTTAGTGACAATGTCTTTCTTTGCTTTTATCTCCCTCCCAGTCAGCAATTTTCTTGACTGTGCATCAGACCTTCAGAGTCTGGTTTTCCATTCCTTGAACTTGCAAAAATGCTTCAGACCTCATCTGTGTGCTCATCTCTGTCTGCTCAGGTCCCGCTGGACTTTACACAAGCACATTGCTTCTTAGGTTAAAACTAGCCTACCATCTGGAACAGGTCTCTAGTGCCCAGTGCTTCTTGAACTCTTACCTCTTAAGCCACTTTGCACCTTCCACACCATGTCTTTTGTCGTGAGGATTATATGACTTTTCTTTCTGTTATTAACCTTTATCACCACATCTCTAATATTCTAATAACGCTTTTTATATGAAGCAGGCTATACAGAATGAAAATGATACTGTGAAATGGTGAATCTGAGAGATTACAGAAAAATCCTAAATGCAAGATGTCAGATACTTTTCAAAGAGATTTGATCCACCAGGCATGTTTAAATTGTTCAGAAGTTCCCCTTTCTTCGCTTTAGCTGGCTTATACTCAATTTTGCAAGACAGTCTTGATGTTCCCATGCATTCTGACAGGGGACTGTAGTCTTGCTAAATTCTTATTACATTTTTTTTAAAACCAGGCTATTTTATTTTCTTGAGCCATTCAAATGAATAACATTATCACCTCTTTTTACTCATGGAAACTCAAGCTAGAATGAAGCACACTTACAGGCAGGTGTTTTGTGGTTTGCCGCCTCTGGCTTCGTAACTGTAATCTACATTAGTTCTGCTATGGTTGAACTAGAAACACATTTTGGATGTTTGGCTCTGTATGTGCTCCTTGCTGACACTGTGCATTTGCAGTATCTCTCACTCCTGCCCTGAGGTCTTCTGCTAACCCTGCCCTGGGCTCCACACACAGCTCTTGCCAGTGCCTTCTACTCTTACTCTGTTCTGAGTACTCCCTGCTATTTCAGTCCTGTATTTCTTCTTAACCAGTTTTTCCCATTCTCAGGTTTGCCTGTTCTCATTGCTTTCTTCTGAATTTTTGTTAAGAAACCCATGTCCGAAACCACGAACTTGTGGCCTGCTCTTGAGCAGTAACATCTTTTGTAATGCAAAGTGATTTATTTTTAAAAAGAGAAGGCTCTTTTTAAGCATGAAATTTTCTGAAACTGTAATTCAAAGCAGAATGGGACTCTTGCTCTTCAAGAGGCAAGGAGACCACTGCCACACTGTTGCCTTCTGACAAAGGCAAGAAGCGTTTTGTTTTGTTTTACACCAGAACTGGTTTAGGCAACTGGAAACAGAGGTGGCAAAACTGTGTTTCAAGGAGTCTTTAAACAGGTGCCAGTCTAGCAGCTGTACAACTGCAATAGGCAATCTGGTTGACCAGCTTTGCTTTTCACAAAGCTATATTGTTCTGAGCCTGTGGTATGGTTGTTCTGCCATAGTAAAACGGTGTTTGTGAGATGCTTCCTCTGAAAATAAAGACAGGTAGTATCCTTTGGCATCCCCAAAAGCTGGGCATTATTGTATTGAACAATTCTTAGTGTTGGCCCAAAGAAAGATGCTCTTCTGTAGAAAAAGATGAATCCTTTTCCATTATTTGCTTCTTGATGCAGAGAAAAAGGCTGGAACCTAATCTGTCCCTCATGGGGCAGTGAGCCCCATGCTTTCAGCCTGGTAGCCAGCTTATATATATTTAAAGACCGATTACATATGTATTTGATATATTATACATATTATTTTAATATAGGATATATAAATTCTAATTTATATGTATACACACATATACACACATGTATGTTTGAAGGTGATGGAGAAGTGCAGTGGTTAGTAGATTCTCTCTGTTGTTATGTAGCAAATATATTGTTGCTGTGATTACTGTGACAAAGAGGTGGTGCATTGTTTCTGCCCAGCAAGAATTCAGCTTCTGTGAATTAGGTTAACGACAACAAAATACAATTTTTAAAAAATTAGTAGCATGTATATTAGTTATTGTGGAAGAATTGCATATGAGTTCTGCAAAGCGAATTGATCTAAGCAGGGGCCAGCGGTAAGTTGAAATAGAAGGTGTTTCTAAAGCATATCACTAAGAGCTTCAGGTATTTCTCTGTGGCCCTCTGATCCTTAGTTGTCTTGGCCATCTGGCATTGCTTTCTTTGAGAGATTAGGAAAGTCTGAGCTGAGGGTTAAGGAAGCTTATAGTATTTAATTGTATGGCTAGGATGATGAATTACACTGAATTCATCCTAAGTGCATAATACGTTCTGCAAAGAACTAGGTAACTATCAATGTTAGTTGATTTAGTTTACCTTCAAGAATATTTATGTGCAAACATGTGGAGATTGCAAAGTAGATAATATAGCTCTGCAGAAGAAATAAAATACTAATTTTTGCCTCTAGAGATAGCAGGTTAATTGTCAAAAAGGTAATCACCAAATATAAACATAAGGGCTTATGTCTTTCTAGGGTAGGTTTTACTTAATTGTTTTATAAGAGAAAAGGATCACAATAATTATTGTCACAAACTGTATCAGAAAATCTTACTGGCTGTAAAATGGAAATTTTATAAAATGTAAATTTTTAAAAGAAATTTCACTTACGAAATGAGAATTTCATAGGATCCTAAAAGGGAAATTTTGAAGTGACAGGAATAAGTTATCAAAACTTGAGTAGAGAATTTTACAAGTAGATGGTGGTCATGGTTAAATTTAACTAAGGTTAATGAATTGACATACAGTGGAGCATTCATAATACACATCTTGTTAGATTTTGGCATTGCTTAACTTTAATATAAAATGCATTTTGTTAAGAGGAATATATGACAGGATTATTAAACCTCTCATCTTCTGTGTTTCAGGAAGAGGCTTTCCTTATTTTAGGTCAAGAAGATCCTTAATGTGGTTTATTTGTTAAATTGTTTATATTTGAAATACTACCAAAAAAAAATCTGATACAAATAATCCGTATTTATAAATAGTATGATTAGAAGCAGACATTTTTTTTTATCTAAGTTAACTGAAGTCAAATTTACAAATTCAGGTATTTAATCTCTAGTTCCAAAGTAAATTTTATAATAGATTGGGAGCGCTTTACTTTCACTACAACATAAGGCTGTAAGGGAAAAAGATGGGCTGGAAACCTGCTAGTTCAGAAGTAGCAGCAGAAAGTCAAATATAGCAAATTTTTTTACTAATAATCTGTTATTAAAAAATAATGGATAAAGTTTGTTGCTCCTGAAGAAGATTTTTCTGCAATAACAATTTGTCTAATTTAATCTTACAGAGGGAGTAATCATTATTTTTTCCTGTAAATTAAAAACAACATTGTGTGTTTATCAGAGTGCATAAAGGGAGTTGTACAGCAGCTGTGCAGGTCACTTTTTAGTAACGACTTGATCAGACTGAAAGAAAGACAGCATATCC